ATCTGCCTACAAGAAAATCTGTCACCAAAGTATACCAATATATATATATAACTGTAATATTACTAAAATATGTGTGTATAATAAAAAATCTTTATATGTTACAATGAAAAACAATGTTAGCAACAACCTTTACCCAACTGAGTTAAACAGCAGTAAAGTTAGTTTGAAGTATGATATTCATTTGATATTTGCAACCATTCCCCTAGACTTTTAAAACTAACTATCATGTGAAAAGGACCAACTGTAAATTATTTCACAGTCCTAAGTTTACCTATGAATCCTATTAATCATTTACGAAAATCAAGGTACTTTCTCTTTACACATATATACTACTTATCTGGCAGGAGTAAAAAAATTCTTGATATTCTCAACCACAGCAGCTATAGTTTCAAACTAGCTTTAATTTAAAGACCAATTCTGAATTCCTTCACAGGCTGTTTTACCTGTGAATCCTAGGAATAATTGTGAAAATCAAAGAACTTTCCTTTTACACATATACCTATCCAATATGAATAAAAAAAAAGGTATATTCTCAACTGCAATAGCTAGAACTTTCAAATCAACTTTAAATTAAATAATACTAATTGTGAATTCTTTCACAGCCTCTGTTTTACCTGCAAATCCTTGGAATAATTTGTGAAAAACAGTAGACATATATATTTAGTCACCATGAATGTAAACCCTTGATATCTTTAATTACAAAAGATACACTTTTCACACCAACTTTAATGTAAAGAATTTAAACTGTGAATTGTTTCAATTTTTCTTAGAATGTGAATATTTTCTGGGTTAAGCAATGAGTTTAAACTGCCCATTGTAAACTAAAGGCACTCTGAATAGAATGTGTTAAAAAAATAACAAACAAATCGGTGAGAACAAGTACACGATGAGTGGAGAAATCTTCTAATTTTAGTCATATCAGTCAGAGATTCCACTAGATGTCGCTTAATGATATTACTGATTAAAAGATTAGGTATTTGTAATCAATAAATAAGATCCAAGGTTTATTGATCTTGTAACATTCTCTGAGCCCTAGTGATAAAGAAGAATCTTCATTCATGTCTTAATCATAAGACAAACTTGGACAGCAAGTTTATGTATCAACTTATATTTTATGGGTAGCATTTACTTACTGTTGTATTCAGTTTGTTAACCTGAAGAAAAATAATACCACAATGTAATGTACAGTTTGTTAAACATTTTATTATGTGTAATTAACTCAGAATTTGGTTTTCACATTAAACAATCTTAGCATTGAATATAAAATATATGTAGCCAGGTATGTTTGGTGCATTTATTAGTTCAGAGGGGGCAAACTATACTTATGCACACACACAAAATAGATTTGTATAAACCTGTTTCATGAATAGATTAAGGAAAGACAAAA